GGCTTGAAAGAAGGTATTTTGCAAATTAAGTTACCTGCTTCATACTTGCTCCTGTGCTGCAGATCACCTGTGCCAGTGTGGGTTGGCTAATGCTCCCTCTTAGCATCCCCAGGTAGCCTCACCTAGATCAAAAGTCTCCACTGTGGGGAAGAAGACACATGAAGAGAGAGGGACTGAGTCACAGGATGCAGTTTAGGAGCTGCTGCCCAAACAGATCATCGCTCCTCTTTCTCTTGAGTGTCCTCCAGCATTCCTCACACTCTTCCTCAGCTCTGCCAGCATCAGAGCTTCTGTGTGCTGGGATCAGCCAGAGCGAGGGCTGCCAGGAGGGGAATCAGCCCAACAATAAAGGTGTTGGGTCCTTCATCCATGATGGCTTGTTCCAGTTCAGCAGCCAAAGGACCAGAAGCAGAGTCGAGGGCTGGAGGACAGGGGAACCACCCCAGCCCTCAGCCAGCAGAAGACAGTGTTAAAACCATGTGTTTTGGGACAGGGAGATTAAAACTGTGTGGCAGGGTGAGAACGAGAAAGTGACAGCCCGTGCAGCCAGTGGGAGGGGTAGGGAAAAGGGGGATGGGGAATTGAAGGCCATGTCCGCTCTCATGCAGGGTGATCCAGCTTAAAAGGGAAAAATGTTGGGAAGCACTCCACCCCCAGCCCTGTATTTACTGTACAAACTCTTTCTAGCATTAAAACAAGGTATGTGGACCTGCTTGTAAAACCAAGCCCCCAAGACCTAAATTTTTTGCAAGCCAGATGTGGCAGTGTCTCTTTTCTGTGAAGCCCTGTTCCACATTAGCATCTGGTATTTCCAATTGGTGCTAAAAACAACGTTTTTTGCTTTTTACTGAGTATGACTGATTTTGTTACCCATTTCTACTCATCCAGTGACATAAAGAGTCCAATTACAGGGACAAGTAAAAATAGCTGTGTTAACACTGAATAATTTCTAAATGAGCAGTAGCTTATAACACAGAAGCTGGTTTGTTTTAATTCACAGATTCCCTCATGGTGTTTCACAACTGTTCAGATTTCAAGAGGTGTCTTTTTCAGCATTTGTTTTGTTGTGCTTTTTTTCCTTAAGATTTAAAAAACAGTTTTATTTTCTGTGACTGTATCTGCTATTGTTCCATCCTCGGCTACCTATCATGATTTATCACTTCTACTTTCTGCATACTTGAGTGTCAGTTTTCTACAGTCCTTTCATTTTCCCAGTGAGAATGAAGATAACTTTCTTGTTTTCCTACCAGCATTTATGAATCAAACCCAAACTCTATTATAATAGTCCCTGGAAGAATGAAAACTGTAATTTCTTTCACAGCTGTAGAATTTGCCCTGTTTGTTTAATGGTAGTCATCTGTCTTTGTTCTCCAGAAGTGTAACTCCTCAAGGGCAAGGCTTTCGAGCAGGCAGAGACAGAGACTTCTCCATTCAAAAACAATTATTTTGTAATGCACCAAAATGAGGAACTCGAGTGAGGACTTAATTACCATTTCACCAAAATCCCTGTATGCTCAGGCCCTTCCAGCGTAGGAGTGCATGGTGAAGGCATGGAGCAAATGGAGCTGGAAACAGAGCAGTGTGTGCTTCCACAGAGAAGCGCCATTGCAGCAGAGGATGCATTTCTTTTTCTGTATATATCTACACATCACTTCAGCACAGGCCTTCTGCCATGTTCTAGACCCAAGGCCTGGCGTTTCTTTCCCATCTCTGCTACACTGGTTTCTTTTTCTTGTAGTAATGACCATAAGAATAAGAATAAGTTTTCCAATGGTAGTAATTTGCAGGCTGGTTATATTTTATGCCTAAACTACTTTACAATGCCCTATAAAATGTTATGTTAACTGAGTTTTTGATTACACCATGTTGTCTATGGACTAGCTGAAATGGGGTTATCCCCAGGCTAACTTCAGACACCATTTCACTTTCTGCCTGGTTTAGCATAACACAAATTGCTAGTGATTAAATTTGCGTGTCTTAAGAAGCTATTGGACTTCAGCTGGAAGTTGGTATCTCTAAGCTTGAACGAGATTCTAGCAAGGCCATTTCACTTGATGGGAAAACAACTCCCAGCTGTAGGGA